TATTTTTAATTTCAAAACGAGGCTTGGTGGTGAAATTTGCTTGTGTGACGTAAACATGCATAAGGGCTATTAAGGGACAGCCCTTAACCCTTTAAGCTCCAATATCCACAAACAAATTCTCCAAACTGATCTCTATACATTTCCTTACAGAATTAGTTGGGAGAAATTGATAAAAGATCAGAGATTTTTCTCTTTGTGATCATTTGATTAATTCTCATAGATGTTGCACTTGACAATCTGGGAATATTGTTAGGAGAAAATTGATGTTGGTCACTATTGGGACTTAAAGGGTTAAAGAAATTCAATGTGGGCAGTGAGAAAGTCAAGCAAAAGGTTTGTTATAATTATAATCAACTGGGAGGATAATAGTAAACGATGGATCGTTATAAGGTGGTCCAACATTTTAGTCTGTAGATGAAATCCTATGGTGTTACCATTCAAATAAAACCTCTTCAGCAGTACTTTCACGTGGTACTAATGTTAATTAGGATGTAGTTCTAACTTTTGAGTCTGTGGACAAATTTGTGTTGTGACCATTCAAATACGACTACTTTCACATGGTACTATTTATTTAGTATGCAGTTCTAACTTTTGAGCCAGTGGATAAAATCGTATGACGCCTCTTCCACAGTTCTTTCCTATGATAAGTTATTATTTACTTAGAATAGTATAGCTCTAACGTTTTAGTTTGTGGATGAAATCCGACATTGTGAGCATTCAAACGAAACTTCTTCAGGGGTGTTACGAAAACTAAGACCCTCCTAAAATCAAATCCGTCGAAATATGAAGTCAAACTGTAATCGAAATAGGTCTAATCTGTCAAATTATCTTCTCTCCGATTCACCGAGTTTTAGGTCGAATTTTTTCATGGTTTATTAAATAAGTGTTTTTAGCCAGTATCCCTCACAGACTATTTCTCCTTCCTCCAACCTATCCCTCAACAACCCTTACATTGTAACTTTTCACCTTGTTTCCGGTGACCTCTGGGGAGGCAGCGATAAAATTAAACTCTTAAAAAACGCAGTGTAGGACGTACTCTTTTATTCGCCCTTTTCAAGAAAGCATTTCTGTGGCTATGGGCTGGCCAAAAAGAGAAAAAACCCAGTATTTTTGTGTTATGTTTAACCGATAATTAACCACTTGACAATCGGAACCGATTATGATTTTGGTAACGCCATCAGGGTCGCAGCAACATGTCAGCCGGCAACGAAGGCAAAAATCCATCTCTACTGGAAACCCAATTTTACGATTTTTAAGGATAAACAACTAAAATTAGAGACCAATGGGCGGGGTAGGCGTATTTTCAGTGTACAATTATACACAGGTAATGGCTTTCATGCTCTGTTTTCTGCAAATAATTAGAAGAAGCGGATCGTCAGCACGCGGATGATAGTTTTTGGTTGTTTTACGGATTATAGTCTTGGAAACGGTCGTAATTCGGCTTCATATATATTTTACGGATTGTTTTTTTAGGGGGTCTTAGTTTTCGTCGTAACGAAAACTAAGAGAGGTCTTTGTTTTCATCTGAATTTGGCTGGAGCTCATTTGCAGATGAACACAACACTTTTACCAAAATCGACCAGGAGAAACGTAAAATTGAACAAATTTTGCATTTGGAGCCCCATGACCACCGGATTTATTATGTACGCATTGATTTATGTCATCAGTGGAATTTCTGTCCCTGAGTCGCAGACGTTCCTCCTCGCGAAACGTCCCTCAACGGCGATGAGCGAGGAGAAACGTCTGTCGTTGGCAGGCTACATTATCATATGATTATGCTGAACCTTTCTCAGTGATCACTGTAAAGATCCTAGACAATCCGAGCAACAGATGCAAATCACTTACCTGTAGCGTTGCAGAAGGTGGGTGGAAAGACTGGCATTGTTCCGTTCTGATCATGCGTGTACAACATACGGCAGCATGAGTTTTCACCATTGGGGTCAATCCAGCTGAAATAGTCATCTAACCAAGACGAAGCTGTCTCTGCTATTTTAGTTCTACAAGATAAATTCAAAGTATACGTAATTATTATAAGTACTTTATTTAATTAAAAAAACAAGACACTCTTTCAAGGCAATAAAAATAATATTTTCCAACAAAGACAACGTTGTCGTGTTCTTTGACTCTTGCATTATTTTGTAAATTACACTATCAAAAGATCTATTGAAATGACCTCTACGAAGGTTTCAATTTCTTGAACGATGATTATTCTGATTGCCTTTAAGTCTGGTACCCAACCAATGGTCATAATATTTTATTGAGTTAATCAATAACTATCGGCATTCTAATATGCTAAACCCAAAAAAATTGTGGCATTTTTAGATCATTCGTCCAAACCTTGTAACAACAAGGAGCACGAACTCTTGCTGATGTTCGGCAGTAAGTTTGTTTTCTTTAGGTAGATTTCCATATCTTTCAAGAACTCATTTTCGAAAAACATTTTCAGAAATATTGAATCCTTTTTTTTTACGAGCCCTAAAAGTGAAGGCAGTCTTGTCAATATTTTCACCTTTCGTTGACATTAGTCCCCCAATCGGCCAAATGTGTCCAAATATGGAGCGTGACGTAAGAAAAGGACATTGTGCAAAAATATGCAAAGATTCACGGTAATGCTTTATTGTTAAACAGAGAAAATGGTTGAAACATGAGTGGTTTTTGGAGGAAGAGGACATATTTTCATACCAATTGTAAGCTTAACAAATAACCTTCGATCACACTGTACTTTGTGATTTGGAATGGTGTTCTTTTCTTACGTCACAGCTAAAAAGTGTCAAATATCGGACGCATCTCATTGGCTCATTCCTAGTGAGCCCACAAGACAAAAATTTGTCCAGCGGGGTTTATAGCGCTCGTAAAAAAAAAAGATTCAATATTTCTGAAAATTTTTTTCGAAAATGAGCTCTTAAAACATGTGGAAATCTACCAAAAAAAACCCAAATTGACGGGTTAGGGGCACTTTAAAGGTATTTTTGCCCAAAACTAGAAATTACTAGTGGGAGCTGTCACAGCATACTCACTCTTGAGGCCTTTCAGATGCCAAAAAGATCTGCTGCACTAGTGAATTGGGATTGCAACCAGATGAACCACAGATCATGTTCTGACCTTTTGGATGCTCATAATCATAGCCTTCATTTACGACAAAGTACACAGGCGGCCCAACATTTAGGTACTGCTTCATGTCGCTGAACCAGTTGAGAAGATAGGAATCCTAGATGAGAGTAAAATAACTATTTATATTTCACTCAACTATGTACAAAAGTAAATTAACAATATCTTGTTATATAGTTATATGATTTGAGCCCAGTAGTCATGTTATAAGTAGGTCTGTAGGTGGAATAACAGGATCACACGCATGAGTGTAATGCTTAGGGTGTGTTTGATTGGTGTTCCAGAATAAGAATACGCAAACGTTTTGTTACAAATCTCCTCTTCTCTTATAAGTAGACCTGTAGCTGAAATAACAGGATCACCCGCATGAGTGTAATACTTAGGGTGCATTCGATTGATCTCATTCCAGAATGAGATAATTATGTTTAAGTTACATGTATGTTACAAATCTCCTGTACTGCTCTAATCATCAATTTATCAGTTCATTTGCTTAAAATGGCCTGCATATTTGAAATAATTACTGATGAGGTAAGGAGAAATTGCTGGAGGTTTAAAAAATTAATAGTGCTCCTTTTAGAAGTAACTGGTTTCTGTCTTGTCGGTTTAGGAGGATTCTATCTGGCAAAAGAGCAATTTTTTTTGCTTAATGACACCTGATTGTGAAATATGAACCTACTTTGGGTAGTGCTAGCTCTTGATCAAGCCCTACATCAATGTTGGGTGTGGCAGAAATACTGAGGAACAACAAACCAGTGAAAAGGCAGATCTAAATTCAACAAGAAAACACCGTGAGGAAGTGACAAAGTTTACCATTAACATTGCTTTAAATCATACAACTGTGGTAAACTTCTTAATGGACAACTCCTAAAAACAGACACAGACAGATGTTTGCTGCCATTCTCCAGTTATTTTGTCCCATGTCAATAAGACAAACACCCCCCTTAGGCTGTTAGACACATCCTACATGTACAGTGCTGGTGCCTGAAAAGGGTCCATCTCAGAGAGAGTTGCTCCTATCTTGTGAGGAGAATCATCCAGTTTCGAATTTGTTGCTACCGCTAATCAGACACAATGAAAACTCATTTATGCAGGGTTAGCCTCAACCTAAGGTAAAATAGTATTATCATTCGAAGCAAATTTTTCTTTCTTTTCATTGGCCCAAAGCCCACCATGTGACCTGCAAATAACTGCCTACAAATAATGATCTGCTCATGCACAATGCCTTCCAACTGTGTTTGGCTGCAAATAATATTCTGCACATGTGTAAAGGAAACCGTGCTTTTCTCCTTCTTGCTATCACTCTTGCGTGAAAATGGCAGATCGCTTCACCTCCCGAGGATATTCATTAACAAAACAAACTTGGGGATCCAATGATAAAACAATTATTGAACTCGGTTATCGCAAAATATCGTGATTTGCCTGTGGTGAGCAGATCACGCCGAAGGCTGAGGCAAATAATTGATCTGCGAGAGACTGACAAATCACGATATTTTGCTCAACCTTGTCCAATAGTTGTTAATTATTCACAGACAAGAGCGAGAAGGTGCCTGAATTTGAGTTAGAAAAAATAGACACAGATGTCCACTGGTCTTCTTCTAACTAGTACTTGTACTTCTGACTGGTACATTTCTGTATATTGACCTTAAGTGGAGGCTAACCCTGTATAAATGAGTCTTCAGTGCTTCTATTCAGAGCAGCAAAGAATATTTAGTTCTGTTAAATTGGGTATAATTGAAAAGGTGCACAAAACAGTAAAATGAATGATTAGCTGCTTGAATCTCACTACATGTTGCATAGTAATTTCGTGTGGTACAAAGGGAAAATTAAACATTACTTTAACCCTTTTAGTCTGAGAGTGACCAACATTATTTTTTTCCTAAAAATATCGATACAGAACCAAAAAAAGGTTAGGAGAATTAACCGAATGATAACTTAAGAGAAAATGCTCTGATCTTTTAACAAATTCTCTCAACCAATATTATTTTTCAAGAAATCTTTGGAGGCCAGTGTGGAGAATTTGTATGTTGAACTTGGGGCTTAAAGGGTAAAAAGTCGCTTTATTCCATGCTCACCTTTAATCATCAGTTAGCATTTAATTTATGGAATATTTGTCAAGTAACATTCAGTACTTACTATAGCTGGTCGTATAAATTCAGAAAGTAGAACGTCAGCAAAGACCTTCATGACAGAGTACACACTGCACCCTTCAGAGGGACCTCTCAACTTGGGCTCTTTGATGCAGCACAAGATGTCGTACCTGTTGTTTTCTTGCCGTTTGGAATCTAGTGACAAAAGTGCCACAAACACAGTAACCTGAAGTAAAAAGTCAAAGAGGACTGCAACCGCAGCGTACAAGGAGAATACTCTTACAGCTGGCATGGTTGATAGTGCACCTGTAAACAAAAGATGAAAAGAAAGGAAATTAAAACGGAATCCATCAGGAAATTGAGTAATTTTAATTTTCAGTGGACAAAAACCTTGTACCAGAATAATTCAAACAATATTGCATTCTTTTTTACATTTTTCAAGGGCTATAGATATAATAAGTTATCTGTAATGACAACAAAGACTAATTCTCATGGGAGGCCATGAAAATAAATGTCAAAGTTCACAAGAATGGTGAAAACACATGCAAAATTCCGAAAATTTCATGTGTAAGATGTCACTTGTGCAAGTTGACATTTATAATATCATAGGTGACGAATTACTCCTTAATTTTGGTGCGAAATTTCAGCGTTAATTTGTAATTTCACATGTGAAATTACAAAATTGCCATGGCAACCTTCCGCATGTCTCAGTGTCAAGATGGCGACGAAGTTTTAAAATGTCATGAATAAAGACGTCAGGGCACAAAAAAGACCCTTTAGAAAACCTGAACACATGAAAGAGCACATCAAGAAGGATTCTAACAGGTATTTTGTTGAAAAACTCTGAACCTAAGCCAAATTTAAGCTCTAAACGTTCGAGAGAGTACAGGAGCTCTCAGTTGATACGATCCAGGATAAACATGTCAAAAATCCAAGATTGCTAACGTAATTCGCCACCCATGATATTAATAGGTAATCAAATGGTATACTTGTGAAATTAGGGAATAATTTCACTTGCGTTTTGTCCAAATCCTAATAATTTCCCTCGCTTGGACAAAACGTGCGTGAAATTATCCCCTAATTTCACTCGTCACCATTTGATTACACATACTTATCTCACACTCTCATGAGAAATATTCTTTGGTGTTATCACAGATAGCTAATTACACCGATAGCCCTTGAAAAATGTAAAAAAGAGTGCAATACTGTTTAAATTATTCTGGTGTAAGGTTTTTGTCCACTGAAATTTAAAATTACTCTATTTCCTGATGGATTCTGTCTTAATTCACAATGCGTAGCCTTGGTGCTTTCCATTCAATCTCAACTTTTTGTTAGAAATCAAATAGAAAGGATCATTTATTTTTTACTTTTGGGACAACCTTGAAGGGGGTGCACTTTAACGGAAATGTCCCTTTTCCATTAATTTCGACAAAATAAAATAAATTGTTGTCCCCAGTAACGCTCTTCTGTATCCTAATTACAAGTACAATAAATGAATGGGCGGTGGCTTGAGTTAGGTCTGTGAAACGAGCAATCCATTGGCAGTCGTGGAATTTCCGAAATTTCAAACTGGAATTTTTGTTGAATGGAAATCACCCTGGGAGTCCATACAGTACACCTCCTCACGTTGCAAAGAAAGGCAGTTCTGCAAATGGCCCTTCGGGCAAGCTGCTAATGCTGTTGTAGGCAATTTCAGCTCTTGCAAGCAATCAAACAATCAACTTAAATATCAAAATAGCTTTCGACCTGCACAAGGGCACAAGCAGAACACAAACATACTGTAAACTGCGCCTTATCCCTTTAAGTCCCAATGGTGTCCAACATCAATTTTCTCCTAACCATATCCATTGATTGTCAAGAGATTTGGTTATGAGAATTAATAAATTGATCACCTAAGAGAAAATGCTTTAATCTTTCATCAAATTCTCTCAACTTATTCTTTAAGAAAATGTATAAAGATCAGTTTGGAGAATTTGTATGTGGATATTGGGGCTTAAAGGGTTATAAGCCCTGGGCTCACACATCTTCGTAAGCAGTCTTAGAAGGGCTTACATGTATATCCAAGGAGGCTTATAACAAGGAAAAAGCACTTTGAAACAAGCTAGATGTATAGCAGTGCTGATCAAAACACATTTTGCATGTAATACATCAATTAGCCTTAACCCTTTAAGTCCCAATAGTGACTAAGAGCAATTTTCTCCTAACGATATCAATACATTGTCATGAGATGAGGTTATGAGAATTGATAACAGGGCTGTGCTCTAGCAGAGCCCGGTGGCCCCTGGCGCCTAACTTTTATCCTCGGGCGACTAGAAAATCTCAGATTTTTCATACAAATCATATGCTGGGCACCCTAGATTTTACAGTTTCAGAGCACTGGGCTCTCTTCAATTTTCCTTAGAGCACAGCCTTGGATAAAATGATCACCTAAGAGAAAATACTGTGATCTTTTATCAAATTCTCTTAACTAATTCTTAAAGGAAATGTATAGAGATCAGTTTGGAGAATTTGTATGTGGATATTGGGGCTTAAAGGGTTAAAAGCAGTGTTTCATCACCAGCTGAAACACTGAGAAGAGAGTTGAAAATATGACGCTCAGTGGAGTATTTTTGACAAACTTCAAGGTGTTTCATCTGGTGATGAAACACGTCTGTCTCACATGTCTGTCTTCTCAAACAAAAGGATTTTAGATGGAGAAATTGAGGATGTAAAAATGAGCAGTTTTTTTAATCTGATTTCCTTAGTATCTTCTTTATGAATTATTTGTGACTTTGAGAATTACTGACATTAAATCAAGGTTCAAAACATCATAATAAATTGAATTCATTAGAGAGAAGGGGTTACACTCGGATGCGTTTTTTTGTTTACAGGTGGATGGGAGAGGAGCTTATAAGAAGCAATTTACGGTAGCCAGAACTGAGCACTACAATGTAATGGGAAAAACTTACTGAGACTAAGACTATTAAGAGCAGTTCATTACACAGCTTACCAAGAGCAAATGCAATCGACTCAGACAGAGATGTTAACAACATGCTTGGTGCTACTTCTCCCAGCACACGCCCAACTTTATGGGGAATATCCTCCTCAGCATATATACTGTAACGCTGGTAAGTCTGGACTAAGATGAAGATGTTATCCACGCCCACAGCCAAAACAAGAAATGGAATCACTTCAATGATGATGAGAGTTGCTGGTTCACCAATATAGCTCCAGAAACCAAGCGAGGCAACAACAGAGAAAAGAACTATGAAGATGCCACCAAGTCCCAGTGTAACCTTGGAGTCAATCTAAATGATAATAATGATACCAAAAATTAAGGACAGGACCCAATACGATGGTTAGTCAATAGACAATGTCTGGCCAAGATGACCATTAATCTGTCCAGACAAGATATGTTGGTTTGCCAGTCATTTTGACCACACATAAATTCATAAGTGAACAGAAATAATGAACATTTTCACACCACTACATTTCAAGGGGTAAAGCATCTTTTTCTGCTTACCCACTAATTTCATCATTCAGTTAAAACTTATTTTTTAAATTTTTCATTTATGCTCATCCTAGGAACATATTTCCCACATTTTCTTTATATTTGATTTTTATCAGCTTCTTTTTATTCATATTAATTTTTAATTTTTCAAAATTCTTAATTTTGTAATTATTGTAAATTTTAAGGCATAGCTTAATTTTAAATTTTTTAAGTAGTAAATTACTATTAATTTCTTTTTTAACAACATCAAATTGTTTTTGCATAGCACCATTGGACAGCAATGGAAATGGTGCTATAAAAGTAAATGTTATCATTATTAAAATTATTATTGTTATTATCATTATTATTATTATGGGAATGTCCGGTTACAGGAATAGGGGATAGCCTGTAACGCATGCTCTCCGGTGTGCTCTGGTGGAGGGGCAGAAAAAATAAGGAGAGCGAGCTTGCAACTACCTCTCTGGAATTTGAATATCTACAGGGAAAAAGTCGATGCGCAATGCTGATTGGTGCGAGGTGACATTAGTAATGACGTCATTACCCTTGGCACGTGTTTTTCAATGTTTGCTCCCATTCTTGCTCGTTTCCACTTCGCAGTGATTAGTGGAAATCTGACAGCTCAGTCAGCTGAGAGCCATGAGGGAATTGGAGGTGGAATTCAAATTTTAGAGAGGTAGTTGCAAGCTCTCCTTCCTTTTCCCGTACCCCCGACCCCCGCTAGAGTGCCCCAGAGAACTTCCTTGCAGGCTAAAGTGGGGATAGTACAGACTTTCAAATTAGAGGACAAGAACAAGTATGAGTACAAATTTTGGTTTGAGGTTTTTTTGTGTATTGTCGAAAACTAGACTCGTCCCAGAATGCTCTTACAGAACGACGAGAATGACTATGAATAAGAAAGTTGATTTAAGGTTTTTTTTATGTTTTGTCAAAAAATAGACACTCTGGAATGCTTCAATGTACTTTTTTTTCACCAGAAAAGCTAGCACTGTTACAATGTGTCTTTTCTGGAGGCCCTCTCCCAATCACAAAAAGTTTGATGATAAAACTTCAAACATTTTTATTTCGAAATTTCTTTCTGCCACTAAGACAATCTTGCTAAAACTTGTCGTCGAATGACAACAGCTAACACGTTTTCTCACCAAAATGACGCTGGTTCATGCGCACACATTACTTAGTACTTTAATGTCATACTCATTGTCCTACTCATCGTATATAGAAACTTAATATCTCTAATAACATACCAAAAGTCTACTGCAATCTTTACAATCCAATTGCCCTAATGCCACTGTGATATACGCAAACATTATGAGATAACTGACAAGGATAGTGTAAATGTCCGTGGCACTCTCTCGATTCAACTCATCTTGAATGGCACGCTCTGCAGTGAAGCTTATGGTCAAGTTTCCATTCTTGGGATCCTTTGTGTAATCTTTCATGAATTCGATGAACGCCTTTTCCCACGCCATAGCCTTCTTGAGCTTGGTTGTATTCTTATGGTTTTTCACAACAAAAGTGATAATCAAAGTAGAAGCATTTTGGTATGCTGTACCCTCAAAGCCACCAAATGCAAGGTTGGGGCCCATAGGTCCTCCGTATGCAGAAAGGCAAGGTTCCTTTAATTTCGAATCCTCTGATGTTGGGGAACTGAAAAAAAAGAGCGATACCATTCGGGTCAGAATTTTAATTTTTTTTCAAGATCTCAAACTATAATACTGTCAAGAAATAATGTAAAATGTGTTACTTTGAGTTTCCTAGAATATTGAGAAGAGTTAATGAGGTTTTCCTGCCTATCAGCTTCATTTTGATTGGCAGGCTGATCATTTAATGAGGGGTTGCAAGCCTACTACTAATGGGTGTTTCTTGGGAGGAAAGGGGGGGGGGCATAAGAAGGGGAGGGGAAGGAGGAATTAAAGAGGGTAGGCAATAAGAAACACACACTGGTCTTGGTAGAATAATAGAGAGCTTTAGATTCTAAGATGAGGGAGACTACCAGGACGAGATTTGACTTAAAGTTTTTCTGCGTATTCTCAAAGAATAGACACCCTGGAAAGCTTCACTGAACTTTTTTTCACCAGAAAAGTTAGTGCTGTTACCTTTATTGAAGGAGGTAAAACCCTCTTCTAGTCACAAAATGACAAAACCTCTAACATTTGATAACCTGTTTCCACTACCAAAACATTTTTGCAAATACGTGTAGTGGAATAATGACAACGGCTATCACGTTTTCCTGCCAAAATGACGCTCGTTGAAACACGCACACTTTTAAGTATTGAAAAATATCTTGTCCTTGTTGTCATTCTCATCTTAGAATCTAAAGGTCTTATATATTTTTATCCAAGAGCACACAGAATTCTAGTACCTGCATAAATACTAACCACGCTCAATGCAAGGATAAGACACATTCTTTCATGCTAACCCTAATGAACTGAATTTTACTACATTATAAAGTTTGTCAGTTGCCCAAAAGCCTACAAACGTTCATTTCATTCCTATTCCAGAATACAAGATCAATCAAAATGCACCCTACAGTAGCCTCTAAAAAACAAGCTTACCCTGTGCAAAATAACACATGGTCATGATAGTCATATGCATTAACGTCATAGGATTGTTTTTTATCGCATTCATAGCCCATGAGTGAGATACATTTGTTCAGTCTGGTTTTGTTGTTCTGGAAGTACTGAAAGAAGCTCTGGATTGCACATTCTTGTTTCTGTGGTGCTAGTGGCTGAAAGCAGATATCCCGAAGCTGAACTGTTTCATTGTCTTCTGTTTTTACAGTCATGCTGGCAATGTAATTTTGCAAATCAAGAGCCTGTAGAGAATACATATTTACAATATTAAAACAGCAATGCTCTAAAAAACTGCCTGGTTAGCTCAGAGGGATAGGCACCACCATAGACATACACGGTTAACAGGTAGCCGAGGTCCTGCCGGGGGGGGTTCCCATGTCGCCATCTGAATTTAAAACGTCTTGTGTCCATGTTTATAAATGCTTGTCACTTATTGTTGGCTTTGCCGTCACTGTTGCAATTTGGCCGAGGGAGGTTGTCTCTTGTCGCGATTTCATTTTACGCACTGTCGCTACTTTTTGGGCCATGTCGCTTGTCCGAACTTACCCTGGCAGGGCCTTGTAGCCATTACAGGTGCATGACACCCGAAGGAGGATCATGAGATTATCCCTATAGGCGAATTTTCGTTGACGTCATTGTTTACATTTTACGACCTAACTCATAGAAGCCGTGGTCATATATATGAACCAAATGCAAAAGTTCAAAGAGCTGATTAAGTTGAGCAGTTTGTACAATTTCCAGCTCTTTGTAAAGTTTCCAGTTTTTAGAAGAGAATTTCTCAGAAAGTATTTCAGACATAACTGAAACTGTTACGCCCTTTCAATATTCAGAGTTTTTATTTTATAAGCATCATCAGATAGTGATAAGCATATGTTAATGCGGCAAAAAGTATAAACAAAGATTTGCCAATATTATAACAATTTATGATGGGTTAACACACAGGCATATCTAAGATGTGGCTCATCTAACAATAGTGCTTGAGTAAAGCAAATGAACTCAATTGCAAGAATGCAAGAGGGAGGGTACATGTACTTATTGTGTGGTTCCAGAAAATATCCATATCCCCCATGGAAGGGATCGGATTTTCCACGGGGGAGGGGGGGTCAATTTGCCTAATTTTCCAGTGGGGAGGGGGGGGGGTCACCATAGGGAAATATTTCTAGAGGGTTCTTGTGAAGCGTAAGAGAGTAACAAAGACAAAACACAAAAAATTTGCGCCACAATTTATTTGCGAAGATATAAAACACGAAAGTTAAAGAGCTACTAAACCTATGGATTAATGGACATAACGAACATATTTTGTCAGTCCCTTGGCGTGACCTCTCACGTGAAAAAGTTCCTTACGGTTTGCTGTTTTCAAACGGATTTGGTATCCCTTTGAACGGCTCCGAGTATCCGTTAAAAAAAAATTGTCATCCGTTCGAACGACTTGGGCTATCTGTTTGGAAAAAGTTGTCATCCATTCGAACGGCTTAGGGTATCCGTTTGAAAAAAGTTGTCATCCGCTCAAACGACTTGGGCTATCCGTTTGGAAAAAGTTGTCATCCATTCGAACGGCTTGGGGTATCCGTTTGAAAAAAGTTGTCATCCGCTCAAACGGCTTGGGCTATCCGTTTGAAAAAAGTTGTCATCCGTTCGAAAAAGAATTTGTTGACCATTCGAGCGACTGAAGCTATCTGTTCAAAGATAAAGTTTAGCCGAGTTTCCGTCCCAAAACCCATTTTGTTGCTAGCCACTTGCGTCGAATGATCTGTTATTCTCCAGGTCACGTACATTAAGAATTTTGTTTACAAATGCATCATATATGAATAGTTACGCATCTCTCCTCCTTTGTAGCCATCTTCACTTTCATATTATCAATCAATTATCGACAGTATCGACATTCGTTTTAGTCAATACTTAAGCTTTTTTTTCAACAAGTTTCCCGAAAATAATATTTTTTATCTTTTACGCTTTTGTAGTTTATGAGCCAGTGGAAGGAAACTTCATTTTCCTTGCATGTCGAGAACACAAAACCCCCAAAATAGATTTTTTTAATTGGTTGCATTTCTTCTTCTCTTGACTGTTGCTCTATCACAAAGAAGTTACACGAGTCTTTTCCAGCACATTAAACTTTGCATGACAATGTTCTTATCAATGAAATCGGTGACGTGCAATTTTACCGCAAACTCAAATATGCAAATTTGGTATAACGAAATTCGATACTTGCGCTGTCTTATCGCGCGACGAGGTCCTAATCTCTTTAATCATACTTCTTCAAGTGTTGCTTTCTTCTTGACGCAGTGAGAGAAAAGTACAGTTATGTTTGCTATGCCACCTTGCATTTCATTTGCAGAATTGTAGAATTCAACAGAAATTACATGAAACGCACAAAATTTGTCTGTGAATTGAGCGCATAAGTAGTTCGCATAAGGAATTCGCTTATCTGTTATACAATCCAACGGAAAATACATGAAACTCATAAAATTTGGCATCCTAGTGAACAAAATTACTTCTTTGTTCACTTCAATTAGAGATAGCAAAATTTCCAGGGGGTGTGCAAAAATTTTGGAAATTCCGAAGGGGAGGAGGGGGTAAATTTTTGGGGCTGATTTTGGAAAATCCAGAGGGGAGGGGGGTCATACAGCAAATCCCTTCCGTGGAAGGGGGGGTATGGATATTTTCTGGAACGGCACATTAACTTTTTTAAGAAATAGTCAAGATAAGAAGGAAAGAACCAAACACAATAAACATGTCAGAATGCAAAAAGGCGCTACCTTTACTATTGTCTCAACTTCACTTCTGATTGGTTTAAACAACAAATTTTAAGAAATCCTCACAAAGCAGCATAATTATTAATCCCTTGTTTTCTAACCAACTTCCTTACAACAAAATCTCCCCTGAGTCTAAGTAATGCAGAAATCCTATGCGAGGAACATGTACATTGTAAAATTGTAAACTTTTCTTGGCTATTGTTTTCAACTCTTATGACGTCACCCTTTAAAAATGGAGTATAAAATAATACGTTTTAGTTCATAGACTGCCTTTTTGTAGGTTTCCGCATTCTCCGTGTGAAAATGAAACATTCTTATGTGAGGAAAGCATATTGTGCCATAACAAAAAAAATATTGCTTCCCTTCTAACCAGGATTATTACTAACGTACATGTACTCGTAAGAATGCTAAAGAATATTACATGTACATGTCGACCATACAGGGAAGCTTTCACTTATTAGAGGAAATGTAACAGTGTCACAATGCACATGAACACTATAAACTTACCTGATTTAGTAAATCTAGATGGAAGATAGGCCCAAATGGAACAAAATTACCATAAGGAAATTGCTTATATCCACCTGGTACATTTCTTGTTGGTCGAATAATAAGCTGTTCAGTGCGATAAAATGGATCAAACTTGGAGTCATAAATCTCCTTCTCTCTGCGGGCCTCACTGTTGGGAGCAGACCACAACTCCACAGGATCTGTTGTAACTGTGAAGAAAACAAGGCCACAAGCGAGTGCGATGATGATAATAGCACACCCCCCCATGACAACAAATGGATGAGAGCTACACCACACACCCCATTTAGTAAAGAAGTGACGCAAAACAGTTTCTAACGTGCCTCCAAGTTGCTCACACATTCCTGGAGATGAATCGGTGGATGTTGACTGAGTGCTGGAAACTGGAGGATACACTCCACCATATTTTGAACTATCTGCAACCACAGCATAGCTGTTGTTCTTTTTCCTCATTGAGCAAAATATGCTGAGTGGAAAGAACACGACTACAAAGACAACATAGGCAACTAGCAAACTAAAAGAAAGAATGCTTAATCCAAAAATTGTCTCAGCCTTTGGCTTGGGCAGAGGAGGGGGTGGGACAGGGCAAGATGCAGTACAGTCCTGACAGCTGCATGGATTTGCTGTTCTGTTATTCCGAGGATCAATAAATTTTTGATTACACTGGAAAATGGTCTCATTCATCCAAGTAAGGTTTGCTGCAAGTTTGGCCTTGTAATTAATAGTGAATGGAGCAAAACCATTTGTTGTGCTTCCCATGAAAGTAAGCAATTTTTCAGGTGTACATTTCGCAGCAGAAGTTCCACAGAGAAAACTAAGAATTTTTGCATTGTTTCCTGGAAAAGTGACATCTTTGCAAGAGTTGAACAGGCCTTCCTTAAATTCAGGAGATACATAGTAATCCACTCCGTTTATTACGTTTGTTTGTTTGTCATACTCCTCTGATGTCACATCCATGAAAAGTGATTGGTCTTGGCTACAGGTCAATTCACAATATAATCTCCTCATGTTGTTCCAGCAAGCTGGACAGCGTGATGTTAACTGCTCCATAGTTTGCAAATTAGAGGTTAGTGCCTCAAGCTGATTGGTTGTGCAACAGGTGGGACGGCCTCGAAATTCTGGGCATCTGTCACTAAGAATTTCCTGGCCATGAGTGTCATTAAGATACTTGGCTGGCCCATTGTATAGACAGTTCTTGGGTTTCAGCCCATGTGTACACTGACCATACCAAACACAGTATCCCTTGGTATGATTTTTAATCACATCCTGTGAATTTACCTGAAAAGAAGATTATACCAAAAACAGATATGAGTGCCTTGGTAGGTTCAAGGCTGTGCTCTAGGAAAAACTGAAGGGAAATCCAGGTTGCCCAGCATAGGATTTATATGAATATGTTAGAGGTCAAAAGTAAATTCAGGTTAAAATGTTTTAACCTGGGTTGAATCTCAATTTTCTTTGTTCTTTACATGTAGCCCTTATTATTCATGAATTAGGGCTAGGAGACAAAGGAAATTGAGATTCAACCTAGGTACCTAAATTTATACTTTCCAACACTTTAGTTTCACGTCAATCACCCCCCTCTTTTTTTTTGCTTACTCGCTGCCGTAGTACGCTATTTCATGTGGCACGCGCACAAGTATGCCATCAAGCACGTGAGCTAATTTTAACAAACTTTTTAACCGTATTTATAGTCTTGTATACCCTGAAGGCAGCAGCATTGCCGAAACTTCTGTTAAGATTCTTATAATAACAGTGTCAGTTTTACAATTTTTAAATTACAGTAACATTAAGTACTACGCTGTGCAGGTTTTTCAATCTTTATTAAAAAATTTTAACCTGAACTTATCTTTGACCTGTAACAAATACATGTAAGCTAAGATTTCCTGGTCACCCAAGAGCAAAAGAAAGGTGCCAGGGGCCACCAGGTGGAGCTAGAGCACAGCCACAAATTAGCAGTTTTGCACACGTCTTACAGAATAGCTTCTACACTAATGCTGTTACATTAGAACCCTGATACAAATGTACTGTAACTCAAACCTGGATAGCTCAAACTAAGTCCCATTTCCCTTGGATTTCACCACCACTTTTTCAGTCATTTTTACTTGGTTAACTCGAACTTGGACACCTTGAATTCTCTGCTAACTTGAACCAAAATGTCCTTTCCCTTGATGACGATTACCCCAAAAACCAGAATTCTGGTTCTTGCAACTCCACTCGGATGCCATCTCATTAGCTTTTCTTGTTGTATAATCAGTAAAAAACACTTGTGCAATGAACAGATCATATTGTTTTATCGTAAAAATGCTACCACTAAAATAGTCTTCCAACTTAGAAAATGTGTGTGTGCGTTTGTGTGTGTGTGTGTGTGTGTGGGGAAGGTGGGGGGGGGGAAAGTGATCTTTTTGTGTGGTAATGGATTACATGGAAGGCAACAAACATGTATCTTTCCACTTCTTATTCAACTGAGACAAGTCAGTCAGTATAGTCTAAAGGGAAGATCTTTGCATTATTAAATCAATCAATCAATCACCTTATTTATTTCACTACGCCACCCACACACAATACAAGCTGATTTCCAGGTTCGGCGTAAGCAAACACGCATCACAAACAACTTCTAAGCAGTATTGTGATCACAGAGGTTACAAAATTTCAGAGAAAAATTAATTATGTAAAAATATATACAATATAACTAGTTTTTCGATATAACTATCCTGGCGGGAGTTTTGAAGAGTAATAATTAACATAAGTTTCAAATATACACAGAAAATAATTAATGAATCAGAGTGATCCAGCAGAAGGCAAAGAGGCAAGTTTGCTTTACATTTGGAAAGCGATTGTGCTGTTTTTGCCTCAAAAGAAAGATTATTCCAGAGCATTGCACCACTATACTTAATTAATTAACTGAAAATAGAAAACACTAGTGTAAACTATTGAAAACATGATACAATGGCAAACTTGCTTAGATACCAAAGCAGAGGCCTAGACTGCAGCAAGTGAACATACAATAATTTCATACTACACAGGGCTCGATATTAAAAAAAAAGTGAAGTCGCATTTTTGCGACCAGTTAAGAAAAGTTAGTCACAAATTCTCAAAATCAAGTTGCAAAGCACAAGTTAATATCTAATAAGTCCTTTGACTAATAAATTAATAACTCCTTGATTTCAGCAACTTTTATTCATTTCCAATGATGTCTGAAAAACAGTTTCTGAATTACTTTAACGGCACAATCAAGATTGTAAATTACAACGTTTGATCGATCCCGAAAATGTACAATCCATACAAATAATCCTGTTAAATGATAATTTGTACTCAAGTTAAAATTCAATAAATGAAGCAATTACTATTAATCTTATCGTCTCTTAATAATGTGAAATTTCCTGTAATGTTTCTCCTCGCTAAATACACCAAGCTCTTAATTATTATACATGCTTACAGAAATAGCTCGAAGCTTGTGTATACATTGACATTTTCAATACATTTACAAACTATGCTGCCCTTCTGCCAAAACAGAAAGATATCGGAATCCTCATGATCCTCAAGAACACACATGCCAACGAAAAGCCGCCATGTTTGTTTTAGTGATTTGTAGTTTTGCGGGATTTTTAGGGACAAATTCGCGGAAAAATTGGCCGATTTCGCGGGAGTTTTCAGGGCAAACTTCACCAAAAAGCAATCAGTAAAAAACGGCCAACTTTGTGGTTATTTTCAAGGTAAATTTCACTAGAAATTGATTGCTTTTGCACTGACCACACCAGCATTTTTAATGTTTTTCTAACAGAGGTCATCATTAAAATACGCTCCAGAAATGAACCAATGGCTAGTGCCCAGTTTCTCGCAACATAATCGGGACGTTGTTTGCACGTTTCAGTGACGAAGTTTAGCCCCTATAGCTGAAATAAGTTTCAAATATGTTGTACAGACATGTATTTGATAGAATCGCATAATTAAGTAAAATCTCGCATTCTGATTGGTTAACGAAGCGAGGTATTTAGTGTGGAATTGCGAGTTGAAAACGAGGCTAAGCGATATTGTTTCGCATCTACGTAACAACTATCGTCAAATTCTAACACAACAACATGCAAAAAAGGTTTTCTACAATGTCATTTTAAAATGTTTTCAAAACCATTCATTGTCACTTTTTGAAGAGTTAAAAACAAACAAAAGCGTTTTTTAAAGTGAGCCGGAGGTTCTTCCTTGTTTTGAACTGAACTACAGATTCTCGAAGAGACATAAAACCTCTTTCACTCGCGACAACCAGAAAACAAGAAAATCCTGTGAACACGGCCCAGAAAATGGCAATCCAAAAGTTCAACCAAACAAAACGGAGAAACGACAACGGAGGAAGTGCCGGGGTCGATTGTCCCATATACAGAAGAAGAAATAAATACCTTCAAAGAGGACATGGCCCCTGAAAACACGAAAAAGAGTACGCCGCTTGCAATCGTCCTGAATCGTGATACTTAGAAAAGTACAAAACAGAGCTGAACTTGAACAGCATTTCTAAAACATTTCAAGGTACTTACCTTATGTCAATCGCGACGTTAAACATGTTGAACTTTCAGTGCTTTCGCTTGGACACTTGATTTCTTTCCGTTTTGCCGCCGAAGAGGTAAAAGATGTAAAATATTTTCCCTCTCGAGCAAATGACCAATTTGAAAAAAGACGTTCTACATAAACGGCTTCTAAATTCAGTAAAATACCTCTATTTATCCTTACAATTAGTGTGAAGCTTGTTTACATGTAAAAAAGTTTGAAAACAAATATAAAAGCAAGCACAAGGTACAAAAAAAGTTGTCGAAGGTTCAAACGTGTACGACTGACCTTGCTTCCTATTCGCTAACGCAATGACAGTTCTGACAGTTGACTTTGAAATGGCTTTCTGGAGCGCGCGCTCAGGATAAAAACAAACAATATTATTGCTGTTTTCTTTTTTTTTCTTCTGATTTTTATTCAATTATGCGATTCAAGGAAAATTCATTACCTGACTCGAGAATTCCACGTTAAATTGCACTTGAAAACCGATATCGCACTCATCGCTTCGCGATTCGTGCGATATCGGTTTTCGCGTGCAATTTAACGTGGAATTCCCTCGTCAGGTAATGAATTTTCCTATAATATTTCTACCAAATTTTGCAGTATTTTCCGTGTTTTTGTGAATTTCGTGGATTTACCCGAATTTCGTGGCTCCGCGACAGCGCAAAATATCAGAAGCCTTGGCTGAAGAAGTTTTAGTCGCAAAAGGGGAGAAAACTTGGTCGCAAATGCGACCGATACAGTTGCAATGTCAAGCCCTGCTATATTGGTTGCTTGTGTAAGAGTAGTCAGCAAGTAGTCAGTACTCGTTTTAATGAAACATACATTGTTATGTTTATGTCAAGTGTCATTTATCAGAAACAAAGAACTCAGCGTTTTTTTAGATCTCTCTATAAGGATGATACATGTTTTTACAAAAAAAAAAGTCCTCTAAGCGTGCAGATTACTTTGTTGCCTAAGAAGGATAACGTGTATCAACTACATGCATGCAGCTTGCAATCTGCAATTGTATAGCTAAAATTTCGTGCGTGATTACTTGTCATTGAAAATTGCGTAGCTCTCCTCAAGTTATACCTCTAACGATGAAAAAGTTAACACCAAAAAGTGCATTTATTGTTTAAAACCACAATAATTAAAAAAAATGTGTCCAATCTATTAAACAGCACTACTTCCGAGTACAAGCAATCGACGATGGAACACACCTAACATACAACCCACGACCATAATGTCACTGCACACATCCTACTGAAAACTGAATTTACACTGCTGTAGACTAAACGTAAAGACCTTTAACATTAGGAAGGGGAATTCTGTTTGTTATTATCATTGTTGCTCCAGAAAAAATTGCTGTTCTTACCCAATATTTCTGGGAAACATGACAGTTATGCAATGAAGAGACCCACCTGAATCGCGAGTACGGTGATCATAAACACAGCCACGATCGAGCGAAGAATCAACATTGAAAGAGCCATACTTCTTATTTTCTTTCCGGCAAAGTAGACTTTAACGGCAACTGCTTAGCATTTTTTTCGAATAACCTTCTCTTCTTATCGGTTAGCGGCAAATCCTTGTAAAGTACAACAACACGGCAGCGGTCAAATCCGGTAAGAGGAAAGAAGATCACGAGTTGTGAGCCCTCTATATATGCTAATGCTTGATGAGTCAGTCCATCAAAGCTGATTTCTGATTGGTAGATTGCCGTCAGACCATGGCCATGCCATATCTTATGACGAAACACGGGTCAC